GAAGCTCTCAGACAACAGGAAGAATCTCATACACCTTTACTTCTGAGTTGGGCCCATATGTACAGTTTGGGGTGTGTTAAGGTCTGGCAGCAGGTAACTCTTATTGGCTTGGTCTGAGAGCTTGGGAATGCCTCATCTGCATGATGGTGCCACTCTTACGAGACCTATGACCATGAGCCTCTCTCTGGGAGGGACTGTGGAGGGCTGAAGCTGAGAGAGCCAGAGGCTTAGGAAAAGCTTGAACGCCTTCCATCCCAGCAATTATCCTGGGGTCTGGGGTTCTAAAGCTCATTCTACCAGGCATCTGGCTTTTTCTCATAGTTCACTGTCCTACAGGTAACCAGCTGGAGCAAAGTAGATCTTGACAGGTACACGTGAAATAGATGGGATAACTTATGAAACATAGCCAGGCAGTGGTGGCACACGCCTTTAATCCCAGCACTTGGGAGGCAGAGACAGGCAGATTTCTGAGTTCGAGGCCAGCCTGGTCTACACAGTGAGTTCCAGGACAGCCAAGGCTGCACAGAGAAACCCTGTCTCGAAAAACCAAAACCAAACCAAAACAACAACAAAAAACAAACAAACAAACAAACACTTATGGAACGTAAGTATAGACCCATCAACTTTATAAGTGTGGATTTCACACATTTTATAATATTACTAGTATTACACACATGTAACTGCTTTTCATTCTTCCTGAAGTGCTGGGATTGGACCCATGGGCTTGCATGTACTGGGCAAACCCTTTGCATCTGGGCTACATCTTGATCTACCTCCCAGGGGGAAGAATATACACTCAGATCTTTTAAAACATCAGAGCTGCTGTGATGACTCAGGGGTTAAGAGCACTGGCTGCTCTTCTAGAGGACCCACGTGGTGGTTCACAGCCACATGTAACATCAGCTCCAGATGATCTGATGCCCTCTCTTGCTTTCACAGGCTCTTAACAGACATGGGCAAAACACCCAACACCCATAAAAAGAATATTTAGATCTATATTATACAGCGTTCTAAACAAGCATATAAGGTGCTTGCAAAAAGTAAAACAATGACGCTCATATCAGGACTGTAGCATTTTTTCAGCTGTGCATTGCATCTTCAGGGTCTTTGTTTTTCTTTTAGGACAGGGTCTGTCTGACATACCCAGTCTGGCCTTGAACTCCCAGCAGAGCTGGCAACCTTGAACTCCCAGGTGCTGATATTACAAGTATGTACCACAATGGCCAGTCTTACGAAGTGCTCCAGATCAAAGCCAGGGCATCACTGTTATCTCTATCATCTGAGCCAAATCCCTCGCACATAAATATTTAGTCAGAGGCTTATTAATCCAGGCAGGCCTCAAACTTGCTACTTAGTCAAAGCTAGTCTGAACTCCCATCCTCCTGTGCCCAGTGCTGGCCTGGAAATTTTATTTTATTATTTGTGTGCTTACTTATTTACTTATTTATTTATCCAGTTTTGGCCTGGAATGTTTTATTTGTTTATTTGTTTGGTTTTTTTTCAGACAGGGTTTCTCTGTGTAGCCCTGACTGTCCTGGAACACACTCTGTAGACCAGACTGGCCCCGAACTCAGAAATCCACCTGCCTCTGCCTCCCAAGTGCTGGGATTAAAGGCGTGCGCCACCACTGCCCGGCTTGGATTTTGTTTTTTAAAGCATACAAGTATCAATGGTTTTAAAATATAAAAGATACTGAACATATTTAATAGGATTTACTCTAAAGTCTCAAAAATCTCTGTGCTTTGCTAGATGCTATTGGATCTGTTGGTCACAGTATTTGTAAGCCAGGCACAGTAACAGTAGTCTCATTACACTATGGAGAACACCATTCTCCATAAAAGGTTTTTTGGCTTCCATTTCTCGGCCACACAGCTCTTGGCAAAGCTTTCACAACACGGCTTGTAGCGTGGCAAATGGGCATCATAGTTTCTTCCACCCTGCAGCACAATGAGAGTTTGCCTTTGCTGCAAACCATGGCACACTCTTCCTTTTCTCTGTTGGGTTGCCCACACATATGCAGGGTACAGTCTACATTCAACCCACTACCTTCTGAGACCCTTCCTTTCCCTCTGGATATAACAATGACACCCCTCTCACAGTGACTGTTAGCATTCTAAGCTGTGGCCCACACTTACCTGGCAACAGCCAGGTACGCCTTGCCTCACTATAAAATCGGCTGCTTGCGCCCTCCTCTCTCTCTTGCTCCTCTCTTGTTATTGTCTTCCTGATCCCACTCTCTCCCCATTCCCTTCCCCCCTCTCTCCATGTGCTCATGTCTGGACTTTACTCTTTCTCTTTCCCTTTCTTTTCTTTTCTTTTTCCTTCCCCTCCCTTCCTTCCCCCTCCCCTCCCCTTCTTCTGTTCTGTTCTGTTCTGTTCTGTTCTGTTCTCTTCTCTTCTCTTCTCTTCTCTTCTCTTTTCTCTTCTCTTCTCTACCTTTCTCTACTACTCTCTTGTCTTCCCTCCCCATGTGCTGAATAAACTCTTCTATTCATGTGGCTGGTCCTTCAGGGGGAAGGGATGTCTCAGCATGGGCCTGCCGAGGCACCCCTTCCCCCACACCTCACCACACCTCCATAGAACATATCCCTTCCTCTCTTTATCTTTTATTTTTCAGATTTATTTATTTTATGTATATGAGTACACTGTAGCTGTCTTCAGACACACCAGAAGAGGGCATCAAATCACATTACAGATGGTTGTGAGCCACCATGTAGTTGCTGGGAATTGAACTCAGGACCTCTAGAAGAGCAGTCAGTGTTCTTAACCACTGAGCCATCTCTCCAGGCTTCTCTTTATCTTTTTATAAACACATCAGTGACCTTTACAAACAGTTCCCCCAGGAAGAGGAGGGCATGCTCTTTCTTAATAATGCAGAGTGAACAGAAGTATTTGAGCCAGGCCTCAGTGCTGGCTTCCATGTTGATATCCTGTTTGTGGTTCGAGCCTTAGAATTAATGTAGATATTTTTTTTCTTGGAAAACAGAGCAAATGATCGCTCTCACTGTACATGATCACCATCACAGACACAGTGGGAACTTAGAAATTATTCCTCAAACCATATGTGAAACACAGAGTTGGCTACATCTCCTGAATTAAGAACCCCATTCTGCTGCTTAATGAAAACTCACTTTCTCGAGAGGAAGGAGGAAAAAGAGAAAGGGCTGAAAGGGACAAGCTGCTGTCTTCCCTTTGAAGCATTTCCCAAACTCCCTTCTTTCTGGCTAATGTGATATTATGTAATATGCCCACCTAGCTGTAAGGAAAGCGAGGAAACTGAGGGTCTTTTCCTTTTTCACTGAGCACATAAAAACAAAGTAAGAGGACCCAGCCATTAAGAGCCCTGACTGCTCCTCTAGAGGACCCAGGTTCAATTCCCAGCACTTTCACGGAGGGTAACAACTGTCTGCAGCTCTAGTTCTGGAGAATTCGATGCCCTCCCCTGAGAGCACTACATTGCACATGCAGCACAGACCAGACATGTACGAGGCAGAAACCCACACTAAAATAAAATGAATCTTTAAAAAGAGAGAATAAGAAAAAGGAAAACAGTTACTAACCAAACCATGGGCACTACCCTTCCCTTGCTTATTTTTTGAAGTATAATAACAAGCTGGTTGCATTGGGAGAGCCGGCTCGGTAGTTAAGAGCACACACCACTCTTGCAAAGGATACAAGTGTGGTTTCCAGTGCCCAGCATCAGTTGGCTCATAGCCCAGGGAGCCCCCGCTCCAAGGAGACTGATGCTCTCTTCTGGACTCTATAGGCACCTGAACTCACACCTACACTCCTACACACAGATATACACAAAGACAACCCACATGCCTACACACAGATGTATACAGAGACATGTAGTTAAGAATAAAATTGCCCAGCAGTGGTGGCACACTTCTTTAATCTCAGCACTAGGAAGGCAGAGGCAGGTGGATCTCTGAGTTCAAGGCCAGTCTGATCTACAAATCAAGTTTAGGATAGCCAGGGCTACACAGAGAAACTCTGTCTCAAAAAAATCAAGGTGCCGGGTGGTGGTGGCACATGCCTTTAATCCCAGCACTTGAGAGGCAGAGGCAGGCGGATTTATGAGTTCGAGAGTTTGAGCCTAGCCTGGTCTACAGAGTGAGTTCCAGGACAGCCAGGGCTACACAGAGAAACCCTGTCTCGAAAAACCAAACCCCCCCCCCAAAAAAAAAATCAAGGAAAAGAAAAAAGAAAAAAAAGGGAAAAACAAACAAACAAAAAAGAAACATTAAAAAAAAAACCAAGGATAAATAAAGAAAGAAATCTGAATTACTTTTAGGATTTTTCTTTGGCAAGTTAGGATCACAATTTCAGCATATATAGAACAGAACAGTAACCTTTATCTCTTAATTAAAAGATGGCTACTCGCAAGGACCATAATTATTCTATACACAATAATACACAGGATTTTTAAAGTAGTATAAATTAGTTTAATACTTTACCTAACAAAAATAATTTGGGAAGGGTTGAGGGTATAGCAAATGGTAGAATTCATCAAGTTAAATACATATGAACTCTGGATTTAATCTTCACCAGAAAAAGGGCAAAGAAGAAAGAATAGCCATGGTGTGGGTAATTTAGCAGTAAATCTTTTCAGTGCCAAAATTACCGTAAATTTCCAAGTGGCTATTTTGTCTGTAGTATATTGCTTATTTAAAAATGGAAAATAGGTCTTCAAAAGCTAACAGTTCTCTCAATACCAATTTTTTCCTATCAAATACAAATGTACATTTCCATAACTAATCGATCTGTGACAGCTGTGGTTCCCCACGCTCAGACACGTTGAAAATACAAATATAATCATAATCACAAACAGCATACGTAGCAATTTCTAAACTGCAGCATGCAAAGCTATAATCTAGCATCCAGTTTGCTTGTCGTGTGGACTCGGCCTTCCCTGGCATGCTGTCTTGGTTCAGCAGCCCTGCGTGTGTGAGAGATACCACGGATGCTCACAGTACCACAAGCGCAGGCACCACAATCCCGAGGCCGCATGTGGGGAGGGTCATCAGACAAGAAACCTTGTGATTCGGGTTCATTCTCTGGAATTTTCTTCTCCACTTCCTTTAATATCGTCCTTGTTTCCCTTGCAAGAATCCTGGCTGCTGGTGTCAGTTAAATAGTTTTCTTCCTCATTCTCTCTCTCTTCTCCATAAGAGCTAAAGAAAGAAATATATCAATCAAAGGGAAAATGTTGTTTTCAAACGTACATGGCCTGTATTACCATCATGTAGGTGGTGTTAAGTCCACAGGCTCCACCTATAGCAGGAGGACCATAGCAGCACCAATGTGGAAATCAAAGGTTCCTGACAACTAATCTATCTTGAAACTTGACTGCTAGTGTTTCAATCAAAGGCAGATCATTATCATATATATATATATGTATATGTATATGTATATGTATATGTATATGTATATGTATATGTATGTGTATATGTATATGTATATGTATATATATGTCAGAAATATAAGCTTGCTGTAGGAACAAAGTGTTTTATCTGTGTAATATTTATATTACATGATAAAATAGTAGTATAGTAGTATATCTTACAACAGTTCACATGCACTCCCGCACTCCCTTAAGAAAAAGGATTTTTAAACAATAGGAAAGCCCAGAGTCTGATGCCCTGAAAGTACACACCTTTCTTTATCCGATGTGCAGCTTCTCAGCTCTTGCCTGGTGATGTTTTCAGACACTTTTCCACTTTGGCCTTTCTCTGAAACAAACTCCTCAGAGAGTCCTAGTGCTTTTAGAGTGTTAGAGTAACACCTCTCCGCGGCCATCCTTGCATTTCTCTACAGGAGAGACATCCCTTTTTAGATGAGAGAAAAGGCTATACATTTTCATTAAGATGTATAGATTTAAAAGCACTGCTGAAAACTAAGATCAGCAGTGTCAGCGATTGAAATATGCTTCTTCTATGACTGACAGTGACATGAGTAGACATGGACCAAGAGAGATTCACACATGTGTCCCCACACATGGACAGCTACAAGAATGTGTCTTTAATAGCCACCACGGTGAGCAGCCAAAGCCTGGCAACATTTGGGTGGGTAATAAGCTGTCCTTTAGCCACACAAGAGAAAAATGACATAATGAAAATGAATGACCTGGCAGATAACTTACAAACCTGACATCGAGAAAAAGGCATGCATAGAAGAATACAAAAAGGTGGGGCTGGTGAGATGGCTCAGAGGTTAAGAGCACTGACTGCTCTTCCAGAGGTCCTGAGTTCAAATCCCAGCAACCACATGGTGGCTCACAACCATCTATGATGAAATCTGATGCCCTCTTATGGGGTGTCTGAAGACAGCTACAGTGTATTTACATATAATAAATAAATAAACTTTAAAAAAAAAACAAAAACCAAAAGAACACATCTAGCCAACTCAGTTAGCCCAAGTGCAGAAACAGGAAAAGCTAGAAACAAGGCAGTGCGTGCGGCTCCCATGTTAGAAGCGCGGACCTCTAGAGGTGGCTCAGCGCTGACCTCTAATGAGTCTTTTAAGATTGCATAAAGAACACCCCCAAAGAACATCAGTAAGGAAACTGGTTAACGATCTACATGTGATGCAGTCTCAGTAATGAAGAGGCCGAGGCTGGGGGAGGATTAGCACAACTTCAAGGCTAGCCTGGCCTACATAATGAGTTCCAGACCAGCCATCAGGGATACAGCAAGACCTGTCTAAAAAACGAAAACAAACAAGCAAAGGTCATGGGCATGACTGCAGATCGGAAGGCAGGACCACAATAGAGTGTGGGACAGCTCCTTTATGCACCTAGTAGAGTTCTTGGTCTTACATGCCATGACGTCAGCCCATCAAAAACAAAATCAGCAGTACTGTTATCTTTATTTCATGGAAGAAAAATTGGATATTTAGAGCTGAGTTTAAATCCCTTGAATGTCACTTCTTGGTCCACAGGAATTTTAGTGGTCCCTCTGTAGCTGTAGCTAATTAAGGGCTCACTGGTGGGGCATTTAGAAAGGGCTGTAGCTCACTGGTGGGGCATTTAGAAAGGGCTGTAGCTCACTGGTGGGGCATTTAGAAAGGGCTGTAGCTCATTAGTGGAGCATACAGGCATGCTTGGGGCTCTGCATAAATCTTTAATACCACAGAAAAACTTACAACCCAACCTTTCCCCCTCCCCCCAATGGCTTTAATCCCAGCAGCAGACAGCTTGTTCCACAAAGCCAGGGAGAGCTGCACAGCAAGATCCTGTCAGAAACAAAACAACAGCACAGTTGCTACTAGTCAGCCCAGAGTCCACCAGCTTTAGGAAACTACATCATGACAAAGTGCTCAGCTTGTTGTCTTGGCTTTGACCCAATCTTAGCTCCTCTGAGTGGATCTTACAAGAGATCTGAGGCCAAGAATTCTCTGTGAACCTCCAAGGTTCACAGCTCGGTTCTGGTGGACCAATATTATCCTGAATGCAGAATGTGAGGCAGTGCCTAGTCAACACCCAATTAGGAAAACAGGAAGGCACAGATGCTCTATCTAGGGTTCTGTAGGAGAAGCCAAAATAGCAAAGATCAATTCTGAGAGCTAATACCATGTCCTCTGGGATACTCTCGGAGACTGAAAAGACATACAACTTAAAACTTCTGTTAAACTGCACCACTGTCAATAACAATAGTTTTTAAACAATGCAAATGAGACAGGGTTCCCTGTGTAGTTCTGGTCCTATGTGGACCAGGCTAGCCTTAAACTCAGAGATCCACCTGCCAGTCCCTCCCAAGTGCAGGGATTAAAGGCATGCACCACTACATTTGACTACTCTCACAGGCTTTAGGTTCACGTAGGGACTCTGCATCAAAAATCAAATTAGTGATTGAGGAAGGTATGTAACACTGACCTCTGGTATACACACACAGATACACACACACACACACACATACACACACACACATACACACACACACATACACACACACACACACACACACACACCACCTAGGTGAACTGAAAACCAATGAGAGGAATGAGAATTGTGCCCAGACAGAACAGAAGTGATTAAAACATCTGAGACAAGCATCTTCGGCAGCTCTGAATGCCCTGAGAACAGAGCATCCCAGGCCTGGGATATACACCAAGTGGTAGAGTGCTTGCCTAGTCTGAAGTCCTGGGTTCAATGCCCAGGACCATCTAAGCCAGGAGTGCTTAGATTAGTGTATAGATTATACAAATCTATAATCCCAGCACTCAGAGGCAGCAGTAGGATCACAAGTCCAAGGTTATCTTTGGCTTTATAACCAGTTTGAGGCCAACCTGGGCTCCAGGAGACCCGTTTTAAAAACACACACACACACACACACACACACACAAACAAAACAAAACAAAAAACCCTCAAAGCTATGAAGTAAGAGCATTCAACTTAACATCTGTTCAGTTAATAGACCCTGTGACTTCCAAGAACGAGGACAACATGGTTGCCCCTGTAACCCTCACAGGTACTTCCCACTGGAGGACAGTGCAACAGGAAGGGAGACCGCAATTAACTTGTAAAAGTGGGCAATGAGGAAAGCTGCAAGAGAATTTATTAAATAACAGCAGCTAATTAGCAGCAACAGTCACAGGAACACTTAAGACTTCAGGGGGAAAATGTACTAACTTATGTTAAAAAAACCAAAATAGTGGTCACTGGATGCTGACTCACCATTTAGCCCTTGGCAACAAGGCAAGCAATCTGTGACCAACGATGGTCGTCCTTTGCCTTCACCATGCAGAGCTGGAGCTGTAATGCTGAGAGAAAGGCACTCCTACTCTTCCACTGCCCAAGACCCGCTCAAAAGGATTGCTTTTGTCTTTTTAAGATAACACATGGGGGCTAGAGAGCCGACTCAGTGATTAAGAGCACTGACTGCTCTTCCAGAGGTCCTGAGTTCAATTCCTAGCAACCACAGGGTGGCTCACAACCAATGGGATTCAATGCCCAATGCTGGTGTGTCAAGCTAAAGTCTACTCATATAAATAAAAAAATAAAAAAAATAAAAAAAGATAACACCTGATGGGAAGTTGTCATCAATACCTTCGTTCAAGGTAAAAGATATTTGATCGCCGGGCGGTGGTGGCGCATGCCTTTAATCCCAGCATTTGGGAGGCAGAGGCAGGCGGATTTCTGAGTTTGAGGCCAGCCTGGTCTATAGAGTGAGTTCCAGGACAGCCAGGACTACACAGAGAAACCCTGTCTTGAAAAACAAAAAAAAAAAAACAAAAACAAAAACAACAACAACAACAAAAAAAGATATTTGATCACCAAGGTTTCGCTGTAGTAGTTCTTTGGTTTATTTAACAGTTGCTGAGCGGAGATCGGCAAATGATGGGGAGAGAATGCTCCGACTGAACAGAAAACTCGAGGGCTGAAAGTGGGAGGAAGCTGTTAGCTACAAGGTCAATTTGCTGTCCATGTGCTCCCACTGATTTGCCACCTTCTCTCTGGGACTTAAGAGCCATGGGAATTCACAGCCTGAGAGACTTGTCTATTATGCTGGGATTCATAACTAATATGTCAGGATGACGCTCTTAGCTTGGGCTAACCCAGAAAAGAAAACGTACAATCTAGTCTGGCTGATTTCATCCCAACTCTTAGGTTCCCCCATAGCTGTACATCATGGAAGGTGCTGGGAGTTCAAACATTAAGCCATCACCCTTAAAGGCAATTAGCTAACAGGGAAGAGAGACATTGCACAGATAACCCCCATACCTCGGTGAGAGGGATACAGACAGACCTGGGTAAGGTCATAAAGGAACACAAGGAAGGCCATGAGACCGTGACTGAGAGCTAAGGTGTGTGTGAGGAGGCGCTAAGAAAAGTTACAGTCGTCAGGGTATTCAGAAAACAGACTGATTAAAGGACCCGGGTGGCTCAAAGTCTGCACAGTAAGGGAGCTAAAGGGGCAGGCGAAGCACTAGGGAGGGAATGGAGGCAGGCCTGAGAAGCCGACAGGAGTGCTAGGCTCTGTATTGTGGATGTGGGTGTATGGCCAGCTGCGTGAATTCCATCCCTACCATCACATAAAGCCAGGTGTGGTAGCACCCACCCATAATTCCTGAATTTAGGAAGTAGAGACAGGAGTTACACACTTAAGTTCACCTTGGCTATGCAGGAGTTTGGGGCTGAGATACTTGAGACCAAGTCTCAAAAATAAAGGCTGACAAGAAACATGGAGGTGCTTTACACACTGTTCTGTGACTTGCAAGTTTCTCTTTTGGGAAAGGGTTATGGGAAGCAGATCAACTTGGGTTTCGATCCTAGCTTTACCATTTACTAACCATACAACTCACTACTCACGTCTCCTGAACTGGAGTTTTCCACCTATGCTATGATTACCTCTTGTCCTGAGGTAAGCCGACGGGGGAGGTCAATCATGAGACCCCTTGAGATGACCATTGGAAACTGGAGTGAAAGGCCTCCATGGGAAGGACCGACTGTGCTGTTGTCAAGATGTACTACGGAGAATGGGGAAGCAGAGAGATCTGCTTTTAGGCCTGGAGAGATGGCTCAGTAGTTAATAGCGCTTGATTCTCTATAGAGGGCCTAGGTTCAATTCACAGCAATCATATGGTGGCTCACAATTCCAGTTCCTCGGTATCCAATACCCTCTGACGTCTGTGGGCAGTAAATGCACATGGTGCCCTCACAAAACACTCACACACAAATAACTAAACTAAATAAATAATTAAATAAATAAATATCCAATTTAAAATGCTTGTAAGAGACAGTCTCACTAGGTTGCATACAATGATCATACACAAAACGGTTGAATTCATCCAAGACCTCCCCATGATATCCTGAAGCCTCAACAGAATAAGAACCAGGCTGACTAAAAAGAACAGACACTAAAGCAAACCATGGCAGGAATGTCTTGAGATTCACTGGGTTAGTGACATGTTCTTTATTGAGCTACGAGCCTTATCAGATCTTAAGTAAAACGACTTCCTTGGTGGACTGGATGAAGCTGCCTCAGAAGCAATTGTAGGACACAATAAGATGGAGCACACACGTAGAGGCCGGGGGTGCTGAGAAATAGGAAGCTGGTAATGGCCCTAAATTCCAATAAACACAACCTGGGCGACTCTTTCAAACAGCATCGGCCTCTTTTGCAATTTTGCATCTTGTTCCTCCAGTTCTTGCCAATATTCTTTCATCCTGGCCTTTTCACTCCTTCTAGAATCAGATAAAGAGAATGGCATTTTAAAAGGTCAGCTACAGAAGCTCTATTAGGACATTCACTTCAGAAGACAAATCAGGAAATGAGAACGCAGTTCAACTGGGTTCCTTTTCTAAACTGGCAAGATTCTCATAAATCCAGAATAAAAAGCCCAGGTTTTGAGGACACACCTGGGAACGGTCTGGTCATTTTGATTTCAAAAGTCTTCAAGGAAAAAAGACTTCAAACTTGCCTGAGAAGGTGTTTTATATATAAGTATACAAAAGCAAGTCTGGTCCAAATAGGTATCTTAAAAAATATTCTTTCAAAAATAAGACCCTGAAACTGGGCAGTTGTGGCACACACCTTTAGTCCCAAAACTTTGAGGCTGAAGCAGAAGCAGGCAGCTCTCCTAATTTGAGGCCACCATGGTCTACAGAGCTAGTTTTAGGGCAGCCCAGGGTACACAGAGAAACCTTGCCTCAAAAACCAAAATGAAAAGAACCCTGATTTTCTTCTTCCCCTAAATGAGATCACCTAATGGGCAGTGGCAACATTTATTAAGTGGGAGCAGGTAAGGGAGAAAACGGGGCTCCTGAGGATTTATCAACAGAGGACAGAGCAGACTGTGTGAGCACCACCGTGCTCACCCTCTGGATCAGATCCCACAGTGAGTTAAACTTCACTGTCTTTCTCTCTGTGTAAGATATACTAAAAGTAACGAAGACAAGAGCGTTTCATGGGTACAGAAAATAATTATACTGTACAATAATTACGCTTACTCAGAGGAAGTTGGCATTAACTTCCTACAGGTAAATACTGTATTCCTAAGGAATTTTTTGCTCAAGTTCACCAAACTAGGCTCTATTAGTAGGCTAATACTATACTGCAGCAAAGGAATACTCAGTGTTAAAAACAAATATATATATTTGAATCTTAAAAGTTAATAAGTCCCTTTAATCCCAGCACTTGGGAGGCAGAGGCAGGCAGATTTCTGAGTTCGAGGCCAGCCTGGTCTACAGAGTGAGTTCCAGGACAGCCAGGGCTACACAGAGAAACCCTGTCTCGAAAAACCATAAATAAATAAATAAATAAATAAATAAATAAAACAAAACAAGTTAATAAGTCTATTACTTACCCAGCTTTGGAGGAGAGCTTTTCTTGTTTAAGCGTGACTATTTTTATGTGCAATGTTTGGGATGCTGGTTTTCAGATTCTGCTCTACAGAATTCTAGTAGTATTCTGCAAAAGACTGTAGGTGTTCTGTGGCTGCTATTAGCTTCCACAAGGGAACAGTCATGAGGGGCAGCATGTTCCCACAATGTATCCATTCAAACCGTGGATTTGGTAAAAACTTAAAACAGAACTCCTTGACTTATTTGTTAATTGAAAAAAATATTCTGGGCTAATAAGGCCAGATCAGCCAGTCTATGTACTATGTACAAGGTCCTGGCTTTGATCCTCACATCCCCAGCACCATCTAATCTATATCTATATCTATATCTATATCTATATCTATATCTATATCTATATC